CGTTGCAAAGAACGACAATGCCCATATGTACTGGGAAGAGGGGGAACAGAAGGTCCCCATCTAGGATGGAAAGTGTCTCCCCCAATTCCTGGCCAAAGATGGGCACAGGGAATGACCGCCCCGCGCTGCGGCCGGCAAAGGTGACAGCCCACTGAGGCAGGCAGATGTGGCATTGTATCTCGGGTCATAAATAAAAGATATATTTTAATACATAATATCAAACAAATAATGTAAGCATTATAACATAGGATAGAAAATATGCACAATATATGAAACATGATACAATAACTACATATTAACAATTGCACATCAGCACTTAGCAAAGTCGAGAGAAGAGAAAAGAAAGTTAGGTGTGGAGGAGAGCTAATCCTCTTTTTGATCATAGATCCCTATAGATCTAGAGGAATGGTTTAAAGCTCAAGGCCTCATTAAGACCAGGGGGTTTAGTGGCATGGAGTTTGTAAATCCAACCCATCTCTTTACGGAGAACTTTCTGGTCTAAGTTACCACCCTGTATACTATTCTCAATGTATTCCAAACCATAAATGGACAGAACCCCGGGGTTGAAGTTATTGTATAGTCCGATATGTCGGCTAACCGGTGTGGTCATCTTACCATTCAGGGTCAGATATACATGGTCCTGAATCCTTCTTGGGAATAGTCTAATTGTTTTACCAATATAGAATGCTCCACAGATGCATGACATTAAATAAACAATTCCCTTAGTGTTACAAGCAATATGGTATCTAGGGAACCATAGTCTGCCATTAGATAGTTTAGTTACCTTGTTTAATATACTTGCAGAGATTGCAATGTTGACAACAGAAGGTATCATTATCCCTTCTGGTGCTGATTTCAGCCTGTGATAGATAATGACTGTGTCAATTGGTCTCTCAGAGATTTGGAGCGCCTATATACAACTTCAGGTTTAGGGCCCAGGAATTTAGAGATACTGGAATCCTCCAAAAGCAAATGCCAATGTTTCTCCAGAATGTTTCTGATCTTAGTATGTTGATTAGAGTAACGCGTGATGAAGCGTACCTTGGAGGTTTTCCCAGGATCTACACATTCTTTTCTCAAAGAGTAGATCAATTTCTCACGTTTCTGGGTCCTGATCCGTTGATATGCTCTCTTAAGGAGTTTCTTGCTATAGCCCCTCAATACTAATCTATCTCTAAGTTTTTTCGCCTCCTCCTCAGATAGATCATCAGCCGCACATATACGTCTAAGACGCAGATATTGGCTGAAAGGTATACTGTTTTTTTAGAGGCAGGGGGTGGGCACTTGAGGCGTGTAAAATGGTATTACCCGCCATTTCCTTTCTGTAGAGGTTGGTAAAAATAGATCCATCCTCTTCTACCCCTACACGCACATCGAGGAAAGCAATAGATCTCTGGTGGCAGGTCATCGTGAATTTCAAATTATATTCGTTGATTTGTAAGGATTCAATAAAAAGATCCAGTTGTTCTCCGGTGCTTGCCCACACCATAAAGATATCGTCGATATATCTAGACCATGACAGCACAAACTCCAGTATGCCTGTAATATCCTCCTGGGGAAAAAAGGTCTCTCTCCCACCCCCCCAGATACAGATTGGCGTAGGAAGGGGCACAACAAGTGCCCATTGCTACGCCCTGTATCTGGAGGTAGTGGGAACCATTGAAAATGAAGACATTATGTCTTAGGATGAACTCCAAAATAAATCTATTAGAAAGAGAAGAAGTATTAGTTCGCTCCTGAAGAAACTGTCTAATGATAGGTAGACCCTTGCAGTGGGGGATGCTGCAGTAAAGGGCTTCAACGTCAACAGCCATAAGCCAAGAGTCGGGGGGAATCATGATCCCATCTAGTTGTTTCAATAAATCTGAAGTGTCTTTTAGATAAGAAGGTAAAGCTGTAACATGAGGGCGGAGATGGCTGTCCACTAGTCGGCTCGCTTTTTCAGTGAGTCTGCCCACCCCCGACACAATCGGTCTCCCTGTAGGGTCAGTGAGGCTTTTGTGCGTCTTGGGCAGGCAATAAAACGTGGGTGTCTGTGGGAATTTAACATCCAGATACTCCAACGTTTCCTTAGTGATAAGATCATTAAGGAAGGCCTGATGTATAATAGCTAGGTATTCTGCTTGGTAACAGTTCAACATGTCTTTCGAAATGGTCTGATACCAATCTTTATTAATATATAAAGGTCCAAAAATTGTATTTCTCTTACGTTCATTGAAGGACACAGCCGAATCTTAATTTTACGGAAGGGTTATATGCCATTTGCAGGAGTAGGAGGTTAGGCAGACAAAAAAAACAGCAAAGCACAACCTTGGGGGCAGCCCCTGCTGGTGGCTCAACCCTTTAGAGGTAGCTTAACCCCTCACTTAGAAGTAGCTCAGTTTTTGCCTAGCCTCGAGGTGTAAGAACCTAGCTCCCTGCTGGGGATCTGGAGTTCTTTTCTTTTACTTTCTTTTTTCTTTGTTTTTTCATTGATCTTCAATCAACAGCTTAGCTGGGTGACTTTGAGCGATCGGTTTTTGTTTTCTTCGTTGGATGATCTTCTGTGTGGGCATCCCATCAGGGTTCAGTCGCACATTTCCTTGCCCAGAACATATGCCTATCGTCTGGGTGACGCATGGCATCACCTGCTGCGCTGGAAGTGTCACAAAAAGGGTTGGATCATGGGGAATTGGTCCTACTTCCAGGGGCGTTTATGCAGAGGTGCCAAAGGTAGGGCATCTGGATGTGGATCTTCTGGACTCCCTTCTTGATCGAAATTTGAGTGGTTTGTGTCCATGGCTTTGGTTCCTTAGCCAGATACAGTGGACGCTTGGTGGTGCATGGTTCGTGGTTATGTGTTTCCTGCCCTGATGATCTTATCTTCTGTATGCGGACCTGATGCACATGGTCACAGATGTTCCTTGGCAGCTCCCTTTACGGCCAGATCTTCTTCTGTTGCGAGGCAGAATTTTAATCCTCCTTGCTGTCACTGGCCTTTACGGTGTGGCTAATGCTAGCCAGGTGGCGCAGGATAGGGGGCTGTCAGACTCTGTGGTATATTCTATGCCCAGGGCATGTGAGACTATTGCTCGTTTTCAGCATCCATTGACTCACATTTCTTGGTTCGTCCCATTTTGCAGCAGTCTCTCTTTCAGCGTAAGTTATTCTTTTTGATCTTCTCTCTGGCGTTGGCCTTTGGATGCTCATTGCCTTGGTGCAGCGGTGTTCGCCTTTGCCTGCCTTGTTTTGCCTGCCTCTGTTTTGGCTTGCATAAGGGTAGTTCTCAGACCCTCTTTTTTTTGCCTAGGTGGTGTCTTTTTACACCTCTTTGGGGGGCTGCAGTTTTATGTACCATCGGCTGCAAAAAGATATCAATCTATTTGCCAATACGAGATTGCATAGAACCAATCCTACTTATTATGGGTCTACCTCTGGTGCATTTTTGGTCTTTATGTATCTTGGGCAAAAAATATATAGTAGGAATGCTACAAACAGGAGGTACCAAGTATCAATCAGTATTCATTTTGATTTAAACTCCCTTTTATTAAATCCCTTCTTAACTGTTTCCCGGCCGGCTGTTGTAATTAAGCGGCCGGCCGGGAGCTTCTTGAATGTAACATGGCCTCTAAAAACAGCATGTTAGCCCCGTCCACTCATGAAAGGGGGGGACGACTGTCAGCGGTAAACTCAAAATGTAAACAGCCAAGCGGTGCGGTGGCTGTAGAGAATAGGTTGTGTGTGATTTGTACTTACTAAATTGTAAGCAAAGAGACTGTCCATGTTGCAGTCCATTGTAGACTTTTGCAAAAGGGATATGGTCTTCTGTTAAAGGAAAAGTCTCACATATTTTTCACAGTTCAGTCACCTAACTCCCACAATGTTTGCTGTTATTCCACTGTCTCTGCACATTCCCAACACAAAACAAGGCCCCCTTCCAGTTCCAGTGCCTATGCTGATTCCTGTGAGAGTTTGCCCCCTAGTTTTTTTTCAAAAGCATTGGGAGAGTGTTTTTGTTTTGAGGATGACAGTTGCCCCAAATTAAAAGATAGGAAAACTAACTTTGCTTTCACAGCAGATAACACTAATTAATTAAAATAATGTACTACATGATTAATAAATATGAGGAGAGACCAGCAATAAAGATCACAGCAATTAAGCCCTTAATTAAAATAGAATGAAAGTTTCCAGATTGAAAATTATTAATGCATAAATGCTTCAAACACAGATATCCTTTCTTGGAAGAAAGTTCTAGGTTCTGAGACAAAGCTCCCTAAACCATGTAATTTTATCCAAGAAAACTAGAAAATCAGATCTGCCATTCAACCGCAGTGGCAAAATCCTTGAAGATACACTATTTTGCCAAAAGTATTGGGACACCTTCAGGTGTTCCAATCCCCTCCATGGCCACATGTGTATAAAATCCAGCACCTAGGCATGCAGACTGCTTCTACAAACATTTGTGAAAGAATGGGTCGCTTTCAGGAGCTTAATGAATTAAAGCATGGCACCGTGATAGGTTGCCACTTGTGCAATAAGTCCAGCCGTGAAATTTCCATGCTACAAAATATTCCATGGTCAACTGTTACTGGTATTATAACTAGGGATGCACCGATATGTCGGCCGCCGAAAATGACACTTTTGACTAAATGCCCAAAGTGCCATTTTCCTGCCGATACATCAGCGCATCCCTGCTTTCTTTCCTCCCCGCTGGGATTCAGGCAGGCAGCGACACTAGGGTTAATAAACCGTTTGCACAGCCACCAACTATGTGAATGAGCTTCGCTGCACATTATGGCCACTAGATAGAGCCAAGGAGCGTAGTGAATTCCGATGCTCCTCACCTCCATCTAGTGGCCATTATGTACATTGAATCTCCTTCGCATAACTGCAAAGGCTTTATAAATCAACCCCATATGCTTTATATACCTTTAATTCCTCTTTACACAATACAAATGATACTTTCAGCGATGGGAAGGCTGTCTTTATGTATGTATTTTTTTCTCCTCTCTTTTCTCTAGAATGACTGGAGCCTGTCACAAAAAGTGTGTTCCTCCTCACTATAAGGAGCCAGAGCTGTCTAAAGGAGAAAGTGTTTGCCTGGACCGCTGTGTCTCAAAGTACCTGGATATTCATGAGCGGATGGGCAAGAAACTCACTGAGCTGTCTATGCAAGATGAGGAACTAATGAAGAAAATGCAACAGGGGATGGGACATGCACAATAGTTTTTCATCTTTTGGAGCTTGACCATTCCATATGTTATATCAGGCCTTATTATTAAAACCATCTTAAAAAGTTAAACTGTTGGATGTTAAAAACAACCAATCAGGCAATCACTTTTATGTTGTACAGAGGCAGCCGCTTGTTCTAGACAACAGAACCTGTCATGTCATGTTTAATACATATGGCACTCTGTATTTTTTTTGTACTCATTTTGTACTCTATGGTGTAATTGATGAGGAGAAATGTTTCAGTATTAATTGCATCACAATATATATTTTTTTCCTTACCTACTATAACCAGTACTCTAAATCTTAAAGCCTAACCCCGGACAAAACATTTTTAAACATTTTAATATTAGACATAATGGGGACTTTCTGCTATCTTTGTCTGCTTTAGGGATAGTTTCCATCACTTCCTGTTTTGATTGTTTTCCAGTTTACTAATAATGTCGTTTTTATAATGGTTTGTGTCCAGTTGAGGAGCGTCCTCTTCTGTGCGACACCCGTCAAACAGTCTCTTCCCCACTCTGCTCCAGCAGTCGGAGGCCCATTGGCAACATCAAGTTTAATAGCCATATCCCTGCATTAGACATATGGATGCCAAGGGACATTCCACAGAGTGGAGATGAGAAAGTTGAATGCCAACTACTGGGGGATCAGGTAAGTAAACTGCTTTAACGTATATGACCACTTTTGCAGCCAAATTGGGATAACACCTATTTATATTTGTTACATGTGCCCACTCACATAGCATAACTTAACCCAGGGCTCAAAATTTCAAGTCCTGAGCTACTAGCCAGGCCTTAAGAGTTACTCGCCACAGTCTAGATAATTGCAGGCTTTTTATTTTTTGCGTACCTTAATTTTCTTTTCTTTCCCAGTCTTCTGACAGCGGCCATTTTAACTAAGGGCAGGTTGCTAGATCTCCTTTTACTTCTTTGAAATCTGGCACATATGACTAAGACATGTGACCAGGCACTTTCCCTGACATCTTGTGAGCTTAAAGATGATATTTCCCATCAATGCTCTGCTGATAACATTCCCAGGATGATATAACATTCCCAGGATGAGGCGAAAGATTGCCGAGTAATAGGAAGTGTCAAGTTAGGCATTAGCATATGCCGGCCTGAACCGCATGATCACCCCATATGCTAATGCATAACTTGACACATCCTATTACTCCTTCTCTCTGTGATAATTAAATTTGAATTTTGGTTGGTACCCTGTTTCCCTGAAAATAAGACCTACCCCGAAAATAAGACCTAGTACTATTTTTGGGAATTGCTAAAATATAAGACCTACCCCGAAAATAAGACCTAGTTGTGACCATTGCCAGGGCCGGTGGTGGCATAAGGGGGGAACCTGAAGAGCCACGGGAGAGAATCAGTGGTGCAAATGAAGCCAGTACTAGAGGAAGCTAGGCGGCAGCACATGGAGCAGAGCCGCATAAGCCAATGCCTCCTCTATAGCGCCGACTCCTGTCACAGGCGGATTGATACCAAATGCACTCCGCCTGAGGAATCTATAGTGAAAGCTCTCTTGGAAAGGTATGGCACCCCTGATTGCCCTGATCACCCTATTCTTAACTTTGCCATTTTTGATTATTTAATTTGGATTTGCATTAACTTTGGATTGTTATATATTAAAAAAAAAATAAGACCTACCCCGAAAATAAGACCTAGTGTGTTTTTTTGAGCCAAAAAATATATAAGACAGTGTCTTATTTTCGGGGAAACACGGTAGTTGCACCACTGCACATATAGGACAGTGAAAAAACATTCTTGATATCCAAGAATGCCATCATGGAATTTAGTGTTCTCATTCATTTTATAGATTCATTTATATTACTGTGATCAATTTATATTAGTTTTTGTAATCGGATTTATGGTTATTTTAATATCAGCCACAGAAATCAATTCCATTATGGCATTCTTGGATATCAGGAATGTTTTTTCACTATCCTATATGCGCAGTGGTGCAACTAACAACCAACATTTTAATTGAATTATCACAGAGAGAAGGAGGCGAAAGATTGCAGAGTAATAGAAAGTTTCAAGTTATGCATTTGCATATGCCGGCCTGAACCGCACGATCATCCTATGCCATTCGAACCATCACACCAATTGTGTCCAAGCTGTGAGTCTCTCAATTAACCTGATTGATGTGGCTAATCCTTATGGAGCATCGTGTACGGCCCTACATTTCTGAAGACTCTGCAATGCAGGTATTGGTGGGATTATTTTGTGGCCAACCAATCAATTTGAGACAAATCACAGAGAACTCTCCACTGATTGGCTAGTTTCCAATGTTAAAACCCTCTCTCTGACAAGGCAAGCTGTGGTTCTGAGGAAGCTGGCGTGCCCCTGAAACATCCAGCCTAAAGCAGCCGGTGGATGTTGATGTGACCGGAGGCAGTTTTTTTACATGCAGTCAGAGCGGAATTCTCCTTAGATACAGACTTTGTGGTTTCTTTGACAAGCGTGATGAAATTTTAAGTTAAGAGTACTTATAACCAATTTTTTTTATTTCTTATTAAAAAGACTGCGCATGGAGGTGGCGCTCTGTCTTTTATATACTTGAACAGAATCCCAGAGTCTTTTGAGGAGCAGCCCCCCAAGGTTGTGTAAAGACAATCTTCACACAAGTGAGAAATCTTCTGAATGCTCACTTCAGGAGGATTGTGTGACGGCAACCATTAGTGCCAAGAAACAAACATTTTTTTCTTTTTAAGGAAAAAAAAAAAAATGTTGTAGCTTTCCTTTTTTAGATCCTCTTTCTGCTAATTCCAGGACTGAAATCTTCTGCATAATCTGGGGGTAGTTTCATTTCAGATAACTCCCCTCTCTTTACTGTGCCAGTAGATTTCATGATCACTTGTAAACTAGATGAGGACTGTCCTGTCCTAATACAGGGTTAAAGTCCTGAAGATATTGTATGTTAATGAGGAGACGCTCAGTCTGTCATAAGTCTTTCTATTAGGACAGATAGTTTGCTGTTACTGAAATTGAGAGAGGAGCATTCAAAGACCTGCTAAATAGACATATCTTAAAAGGTAAGAGGTTTTTTTTTCTTCAATTGTTAATACCTAACAATTGGGGGAAAAAAAATCTTACCTTTTAGCTGTATCAATAGGAACACATAACAAACATATATAGTGGAGGTTTTCTCAATTTTGCTGGAAAGGTGGACATTCACGTTAAAGAATCACCCCAGACAAAAATGAAAACTTAACCAGCATGGGGGTAGCCCTCACTATAAGGGGATATTTTTTTTTTTTTTGTATCTTGCTTTAAATGTGGTGGGTGCATTAACTTTTCTTTTTTACTTTTTTTCCCACTTAGTTTCATCTGCTGATCTGGTAAATTTTCAGCTTCCTTTAACAGACCACACTATCCAGTACGGCAGATAGAGGGTTGAAACAAACCATTTGACATTGAAAGGGGAAAGGGGACTTACAATCATTAGGACTTATTAACCCCATAAGTCCCATGGACGTACATAGTATGTAATTGGCAGCACGGCCCTGTAAACAGACGCAGCTGGGACCCTGTTTGCCTTTGTCAACCTGGCTGCCGGTTTTACAATAGAAGTGATTCTGGTGGCTCAGCTGCCGCTAGATTACTTCTATGGGCCAGTAAAGTGCCCGACACCCCTGCTGTGTTTACCGGCTCCGCTGCCCCGGGACCGGTATGTTGGGTGACGGCGGGAAGCTGGGGAAGAGAGCGACGAACGTCCGTTCACCGATCTCTCCGTTCTGTGGGACCAGGAGCAACCCGTTTTGCATCACTTCCGGTCCCTAAACTGTCATTGCTCGGCTACTGAAGAGCTGCACTTCAATAGCTTATTTAAAGTGGAAAGGTGATACTAGGGGTCTTTTGGTCCCCTAGTATCACCTTAAAGAGGGCATCTCTCCACCAATATGCTATCACATGGGGGGCTTGCAAATAAAGTAAAAAAAAAACATTTTCAAAAATATAGAATTGTAAAAATATATATTTTTTTTAAATAACATTTTTAAAGCCCCCTGCTTTAAACATTTTTAAAGCAAGAGCGCCCTGCATTCATGCAAACATGCATCAGGGGTGCCTAAGTACGAAAACATTGATCGCACTACACATGGGTATCGCCGTGCACGCCAGAGTGAGAGCAATAATTCTAGGGCCAATATTTTTACACCTATCTATAAACTGATGACTGATTTTGGGGTAATTAATTTTGTTGCTGTTTCACGGACAGATGCACGCACCCAATTTTTAACCTGGGCATGTTGGGTATCTATTTACTCAGTAACCTCTTTTATCCTATAATAAATTTAACATAAGTGCTTTTTTCAATAAATGTTTGGGTTTGATAAAGCGTTGCACCAATATCCTGCAACATAAAAATTTGCAACTGCCACTATTTTTTTTTAAATAAATTCTTTATTTATAGGTATTTCCATATTGTACAAAACAAAAAAGCAAAACAAATAACAGTCGTACAGATAGTACAAAAGGTTGGCCAAAGATGACCCAGACAATCTTAGGAGAACATGTGATAACCACCTTGCATATTCAAACACACTTCAGCTCAGCAATAAAAAGTATATATTCTACTCCGGTATGTCCCGTGATTAGTTATGAGCTTCCGTCACATAGCAACTGCATGCTGATCAACAAAAATGATACAAGGCGGTTAGGAGAAGAGAAGAATGAGAGAAGAATGTAGAAAAGGTGAGCGGTTGGTAAGGGCGGGGGGAAGTAGATATCTCAGCGAATTCCCAGCGGCTCCTGCTCTTACCTCTACATGGCCTGGCCAGTGGGCTGTCTATACCGTCAGCCATGGGAACATTCCACCTGATGGCCATCCCGTATCCCCATTCCAGGCAGGCCCCTGGATATCATGGGGTGTCTACGGTTCTCATTTCATACCACTCCCAGCAGGGCTGCGTAGTCTGGGGACGTGATGAAGTCCGTCCAGTAGAACCATGTGATTCTGTGATTCCCTGTGGTGTGCCGAGGCTAGGAGATCCTCCATCCTATAGATCTCTCCAACCCTTGTCAGCCAAATCGGTGGTGTAGATGTGCGTTTCCAGTATAAGGGTATACACGCTTTCGCCGCATTTAGCAATTGTACCAAGAGTGATCTCTTGTATCGGCATGGGGGCCAAGTGGAGCAGGTATTCAGCCGGATCGGACCCCAAGCTAACTCCAGTCAATT